AGCCCCCCAGCACCCACATCCTGAGGCTCCCTTGGAACATCAGATCAAGCGGACTTGTCCCAGAGCCCACTCCTCCACTGTCCCCACATGCTGACCTTTGTGCCCAAATCCAACAGCCTCCCCCACCATGAACCCTGCCCTCCCTCAAATCAGCTCTCCCTCCAAGCTCTCCCAGCAAAGTGCAGGCGAAGGGCCCACATTCCTCATCTCCCAGGCCTGGCACAATCCCACTGCCTTTGCAGCCCGCCTCAGCTCTCTCACCAAAGCTGCCTCCCTGCAAGGAGGTTTCCTTTTTCTTTTTGAGACAGGGTCTTGCTCTGTCACACAGGTGTGATCATAGCTCACCTCAGCCTTGATCTCCTGGGCTCAAGCGACCCTCCTGCCTCAGCCTCCTGAGTAGCTAGGGCTTACAGGCCTGCAGGCCACCACGTCCTGCTATTTTTTTTTTTAAGAGATGGGGACTTGCTATGTTGGCCAGGCTGGTCTCAAACTCCTGACTTCAAGTGATCCTCCTGCCTCAGCCTCCCAGAGTGCTGAGATTACAGGAGAAGTCACTGAGCCCAGCCTCAAGGAAGTTTCTGAAGCTCAACCAGGACTCAAGAGGTCAGTGCGACCTGACCCCAGGATAATTTTAAAGGCATGTGCATTCGCTCAACAACAAAGCAAAACAGGTCATGCTTCTCTCCCTATCAGCTTCCATAATTTTCTCACTATTGCCACATGCTGTTTTTTTGTTGTTGTTTACCGAGAGCCAGCTCAGCTGTAGAGACTCCCACCCAGGCAGCACTGACGGAACCGAGAGGCAGACACCCAGATAGAAGAGTAAGTGGGTCTATCTGGGGGTCCAGCAGCCTTCTGAGCCGAGAGCCTCAGGGCTGACAGCATTCCAGGCTGAAGGGGCTGGAGCAGATTCTGATCCACGCAGTTATTCTCTTTTTTTTTTTTTTTTTTTTGAGACGGAGTTTCACTCTTGTTACCCAGGCTGGAGTGCAGTGGCGCGATCCCTGCTCACCGCAACTTCCGGCCCCCAGGTTCAAGCAATTCTCCTGCCTCAGCCTCCTGAGTAGCTGGGATTACAGGCACGTGCCACCATGCCCAGCTAATTTTTGTCTTTTAGTAGAGACGGGGTTTCACCATGTTGACCAGGATGGTCTCAATCTCTTGACCTCGTGATCCACCTGCCTCGGCCTCCCAAAGTGCTGGGATTACAATCGTGAGCCAAGTTATTCTCTCTTAACAGGTGATCATTATTAACAAACAGATGTTCAGTGTTTTCTCATAACACAGAATATGCCAAGTAGGCAGCTGGTGCCCGCTTACCACTGATGACAGACAAACTAAAAAACATTCTCGGGGCCGGGCGCAGTGGCTCAAGCCTGTAATCCCAGCACTTTGGGAGGCCGAGGCGGGTGGATCACGAGGTCAAGAGATCGAGACCATCCTGGTCAACATGGTGAAACCCTGTCTCTACTAAAAATACTAAAAATTAGCTGGGCATGGTGGCGCGTGCCTGTAATCCCAGCTACTCAGGAGGCTGAGGCAGAATTGCCTGAACCCAGGAGGCGGAGGTTGCGGTGAGCCAAGATCGTGCCATTGCACTCCAGGGTAACAAGAGCAAAACTCTGTCTAAAAATAAATAAATAAATAAATTAAATTAAATAAAAAAAAATTCTCCACGAGGGAGCCATGAGGGCAGGGTCAGATGTCTTAAAGCATTGTTTTAACGCGTGTATGATGTTGATACCTTGTCCTGCCACTTTGGAATGCCCCAAGTAGTTTTCTACTTGGGGCGGAGGGCAGCTAAGTTTTCCTTGCCATGGTTCTTCCTAGCAAACAATATATTCTATCATACACTCAACATTTATCAATATTCATAAACTTAACATTTCTCAACAGTTGTTGTTGGGTTTTTGTTGTTTTGGTTTTTTTGAGACAGAGTCTCACTCTGTTGCCCAGGCTGGAGTACAGTAGCACCGTGCTGGCTCACTGCAACCTCCGTCTCCTGGGTTTAAGCAATTCTCGTGCCTTAGCCTCCCTAGTAGCTGGGACTACAGGTGCCCACCATGCCTGGCTAATTTTTGTATTTTTTAGTAGAGACCGGGTTTCACCATGTTGGCTAGGCTGGTCTCAAACTCCTGATGTCAGGTGATCCACTTGCCTCAGCCTCCTAAAGTGTTGTGATCACAGGTGTGAGCTGCCGCGCCCGACCCCCCCATGCTGTTAAGGTATTTGATTTTCCTCCCAAACCTCCTCAACCAGGAATGGATGTGCAGGGATTTGTGTTTACCTCGTGAGCCCTCCAGCATCCCAAGGACACCCTGTTCCTAAGGTAAGTGACTAGATGTAGGTTGTCCAGTGTAGTCACCGTGTCTGTAAGGTTCAAGCGATTCTTCTGCCTCAGCCTCCTGAGTAGCTGGAATTACAGGTGTCTACCACCACGCCTGGCTAATTTTTGTATTTTTCAGTAGAGACTGGGTTTCACCATGTAACCCCTCAGCCAGCTCCTGCCCGTTTGGTCTGGGCTTCTCTTGGGACCCCGCATGCTACTACTGCTTTTCTGGCTCACGGGCCACTCTCCCCGTGCACACACCTACCTCCCCAAGGCACCCAGGTGGATGAGAGAGGGTGGCGATATTCAAACACAGGCCTCCAGACTCCCCATTCAGGGCACACCAGCTATCACGAGCCCTGGACTAGGAGTCAGCAGACCTAGGGTTTGGGTCTCTTCCTAACCAACATTCTAGTTAGACTCTAGTTAGACTCCATGCCAGGAGGAGCAGCCTGGCCCAGCCCAGGCACCCGGAGCTCGGCATCCGGACAGCGCCCAGCCAGAAGGGCCGTAGGAGGAGGACGAGGAGAAAGGGTGGCCTCACTGGGACTGGGCTATAGCGCTGGACTTCCTGGCTGGATGTGCGCGGGGGAGAAGGGTGGGGAAAGAGGCGGTGGGCAGGGCCTGGGAGAGGCGTCAGGGAAGGGCTGCAGTCCCACCTGCACGTCCTGGCCTAACAAGAGCCTTGTGGACCCCTGCCCCTAGCACCAGGCTACACTACAGACAACACCTTCCTGAGTGTCGTAGTACCAAATACACAGAACCTTACGATCTGCCCCTCCAGCAGGTACGGCACCCACTGGAATTCAAATAGAAGAACCGTGTGATCCTAAACCTGGGAACATGGCACAGAGTGTGGCCTTGCCTGCAGGCCCTAAAGAAGGAAGCTGGGCCCTAAGGCTGTGTGATGACTCCCACAGTGAAGAGAACGCGCCTGACCCGTCGCTCCCAGGCTCCAAACCGACCGTCTGGACCTCCAGAGGCGCTGGGGAAGAGCTGATGGGAAGTCACCGACGGGGACCCTCCACAAGGACCAGGGCAGTCCCCTGCCACTGCGAATGTCAGAGACTCCTTGGAGGGCCGAGTCACACTCGGCTCTCACTCATCCCCGCAGCCTGGGGGTACCCTGGTGACCCAGAGCCAAGCGCCCTCCGACTTCAGCGTCTGAGCGCGGCCCCTCCGGTCTCGCCCCGTCCCGCCACCGCTGACGGACGCGCTGCGATCTGCCCTGGCTCGGCTCCGCTCCGCAGCCATGTTCACCTTCCTTCCTCCACAACCTTCCGTGGCTCCCGCGACCAGCAGTCCAAGGGAAAGTGCTGTCGCCCGAAGGCCTGGCTGCGCCCTTTGCCCCATGACCCCTTCCCTTTTAAAGTTCCCTCCTTTCCACCCAAATCCCAGCCTCAGGCCCCACGGAAGCGTCCGAGTGCGTCCGACCCTCACAATCTGGCGGGTTCGGCCAGAAGGCCGGAAGCCCCGGAGGCCACCGCCGCCACGGGCGCGCAGGCGGGACGGGCAGAGGCGATTCCAGCCCGCCGAGTTTCACAACTAGCGCGCCCCAGCCTCCAGGCCTCGGAGGGTCCGGGCGCTCCAAGGCCGTTATCGCGGCAGGGTCCGCACGGCACAGGCGAGGGCGCTGAGATTCCGCGGCGGCGCTGGACTCCGAACCCAGGACCTGTCAGGGCCGGCGCCGCCCGGCGCACTTCGGGGGGTCTCTAGCCGCTGGGCGGGCGCACCCCGCGCGCTCTTTGTCTGCGGCGCCCCCGCGCCGGCCCGCGCGCCCGCCACGTCCCCCGCGCCCCGCCCGCCCGCGCACGCCCGGCCAATGAGGCGCGGCGGCGGAGCGCAGGGCCCCGGGTGTTGTCCGCGCCGCGCCCGCCCATTGGCCTCGCTCGGTTCCCCGCCCGGGCGCTGCCTGCAAGCACGAGGGGCGGGGCGCGGGGCCCGAGGTGAGGGACCGCGGGCCCGAGGGGATCCAGCCAGTCCACAGCCGCTGCCGAGGGACCTGCGCGGGCCCCGCCGCCGCCGCTGCCGCCGCCGTCCCCGACCGCGCCCCCGCCTTCCCGGGCTTCGCGCCAGGAGGGGCGGCCAGGCCCAGCCCCGTCGCCGCGAACTCGGGGACCCGACGGCGCCCAGCCCGGAGAGGGGCCGCAGGAGGAGGACAAGGAGAAGGGCGGCCTCGCCGGGGACCCGGCCATGGCGCTGGACTTCCTGGCTGGATGCGCGGGGGGTAAGGAGGCGGCGGGCCGGGCCGGGCCGGGGCGAGGCGTCCGGGGAAGGAGGCCGGCCCACATGCACGCCCGGGCCTCGCGGCTTCCGCTAGCGGGGGTCGCCGCGTCTGTGAATGGGGACAGCAGTGCTTTTGCCTCGGGCGGCTCTCCTGGGCGTAAGCTGACTCCAGGCCTGGGCTGTCCGCAGGGGCAGGTGTCTTGAGCCCCTCCGGGCACGCTCGGACGCGAAGTCTGGGGCGCCGGGGCAGCACCGTGGCCGGGCGGAGGCCAGGACTGCCAGGAGGATGCCCCGCTGACCCCGGACTTGTCTCCCTCCTCCCCCCACCCCCATCCGGCGCGCCCCGGGAGCAAGGTCCCCTCCCCCCGCCGTAAATTTTGGGGCTGACTCCACCCCGTCCCGCACAGCCGTCTAGCTGGGTTGTGGCTATGGGGCGACCCCTTACCCGGCTGGCCTTGGAGGGCACCGAATAGCTCTGGCCAGACCCTAGGTGCCGAGTCACGCCTCGGAATGCCGCCCCTTCCTACGCGGTTTTGTGAGCTGCTCGGGGCTGGGGGCGGGAGGCGGGAGGCGGGAGGCGGGAGGCGGGAGGCGGGAGGCGGGAGGCGGGAGGCGGGAGGCGGGAGGCGGGTGGTGGGTGGTGGGTGGGCGGGACGAGCCGGTGTGGGGCACCTTCTCCGAGGCCCGGCCGCGGCCCTGGGGTTTCTCCCCAATCCAATGTCCCCGGGAGGGCCCGAGCCGGCGTGCCGTCCGGGCTCTGCCCTGCCCCGACCGTGGGCGTCGGGCAAGGCACTTCCCTGTTGGACCTCTGGCTTCTTCGCTTTTACCTTGAGGGTTAATTTATTCACCAGAGATTCCTGGGGAGGCTAGGTGAGCTATCCGTGGGTGGTTGGCCCGTTATCCCTGTCTGGTTCCGCCTTTCCCCCCGGCACCTGCCCTTGTTCTCTGCTCTTCATCTGCTTGGATTTGGCTCGAATCCAGCGCTGACAGCCCTGGCGAAAGAGTGGCCAGCGGTGGCCTTAAGTATATAAACCTGTGGCATTGGAGCCTGCTTCTTCCCAGGCGAGAGAGGTGTTAGGAAGTGGTGTGCGAACTCCCGGGCCGGTCACCCAGTCAGAAGCTGCCGGGGAGAAAGCCTGGAGTTTGCTGCCAGTCGCTGGGGGGTTTCTCCCTAGCGCTGCGTACCCTAGAGACAAAGGGGGCGTGTCCTCTGCGAATTCCATTCTCACCTTCCCCTCCCTGCTCCGATCTTGCTGTCTGCTCCACCCTTGCTCCCCAACCACTTCCAGCTCCTGCGGGTGGGGTGAGGGGCTGTTCCCAGGCGAACACCTTCCAGTCCTTGGGGAGTGTAGATTTTTTCCCCGGAGGGGCAGGGTTCCTTCTGCAGTTTCGCTGCAGCCGGTGCTGCTGTCCTGGGAACACCGGGGTTTGGGGCAGGAACACTCCCACTAAGGCCAGGCCTGAGGTGCCTACCGCACACCTGTGCAGTCACTCGTCTGCGCTCCGGCTGTGCAGGCCTCCTGGCCTGGAATGTCCTTCGCTGCCCATCCTCATGAGCCCACCTGGGAGAGATCAGATCCATGCCCCCTGCCCTAGATTTGTGGGTGAGGCCAAGGACTGGCACTGTCTGGTGCTGTAGCACTGGGGCACAGCCGTCCCCCACCCCCTGCCCAGGCCCTGTTCTGTGGGTAAAACCCCCAGGCACATAGTGCCCACCCAGCTAAGGCTCTGCAAACCTAAGCCTGAGCCTCCCAGGGGACAAGGACAGAAGTCACTTGGGGGCTTCCTCCTGGTCTAATCTGAGAAACCTAGGCCCAGAGAGATGGAGGGGCTAGAGAAAGTCACACCACATTGTCCTCTGACCCACCAGGGTGGATCTGTAGTCCTTTCTTCTCCTCCTTCCTCCAGGGCGCTGGGGTGGGGCCTCAGGACAGTGAACTAACTGACCGTGTCCCAGGCTCCAGGTCCCTGGCACAGCCGGAGTCACACTGACAGCCTGCCCAGAGGTACCCCATTTTGGGACCTGCACCCCAGTGGCCCCTGCCTGGCTCCTTCTTGGGCTCTCCCCAACCTACAGGCTCAGGGTAGATGATAGCAATGCTTCTTCTTGGTGGCTGGGGAGGGGAACTGTCTACCCCCTACTATTTGCCTAGTGTGGGTCACCTGTTTTAACTTTCCAGGGAGGTGGGGCCAGCATCTTGACTGACAGCTTCCTTGAGGCCTTGCATGGTGGAAGGTTTGGAACTCCTCCTTCCTCTCCTTTGCTGGGGGGTCAGTCCCAAATCTTGAGGCCACGTAGACACTGGGTTCTAGATAGGAGGGCAGCATGGACAGGAGCCAGCACAGAAAAGCTCAGCTAGGGGTGGGAGAACCTTCAAGGAGAGGGAGACCCCAAGAGTGGAGGATGCCTCTTCCCACCACCTCTGCTGCCAGCCATCCACAGGATAGTGATTCCTCCCCACCCTTCCCAGCCCTGGAAGACCATTGGGTGGGGACTGCCCCTGGAGACCAGCTTAGGGATGACCATAGGCAGTGGCTTTGGAGTTGAGAGACAGAGTTCCACTTCTGCTGGTGTGACTGGGGGCCTCCGTGTGCACTCAGGGAGATGGTGAGGCCCTCGCCGTTCCTGAGGATGGATTCTTCTGCGTGAAGGAGATCAAGTCCCTCACTGAAGGGTGCTGAAACAAGTCAGGAAAGAAAGTGGGAAGCAATGCCTGCCTGGAGTCCTGACTGGGGCCTCCGTGGGACAAGGGTCTTTCTGTTCTCTCTCTCCCTTGCCCTCTGGCTATTACTGGCACCTGGGCAGGTCTGGGGCCAGAGGCATGACCATGCACCCACAGGAAGGGGACCCCACAGCTGGACCTGGCTGCAGAGGACATGGAGGGGGCTCCAGGGGCCCCCTGTCAGAGGGAGAGGTGAAGTCCAGCAGCACATCCTGGACAAGTGTTCAGTTTCCAAAACGCAGGGAAATCCAGATACTGCCTAAGAAAAGAGATTCTAGAACTAGGATTTTGAAGTTTAGAAAATTTAAAAAGCTGGGCTTGGTGGCTCACGCCTGTAATCCCAGCACTTTGGGAGGCCGAGGCGGGCAGATCACAAGATCAAGAGATCAAGACCATCCTGGCCAACATGGCAAAACCCTGTCTCTAAAAAAAATTAAAAAAAAAAAAAAAAAAAAAAAACTGAAGTGGAAAAGAGGATTGACTTCCTGTTTTCAGGAGACAAATGCCTCCCAGAAAACCGGAAACCCAAATGGAAATCACCACAGTAATGATAGGCTTGGGAGATGCTTCTTCATCTACCTGTGAATGTTAGAGGCTCCAGAAGGAGAAGAGGGAGCAGGTCTGGAGGTGGTAAATATGATGAATAAATAATAGTGGGAATTTTCCCTGATCAGAAGAGGGTGTGAATCTGCACAGTGAAAGGGTTGGTAGAGCTCCAGGCAGGGTTACTTTAAAGAAAAAGACACACCCTTGGCATCTCCTGGTGACATTCTTGAAATCCACAGATAAAATCTCAGAAGCTTCACAACAGAATGAATAAATCATTGACAAAGGAGAGAAGAAAAAAAAAACCAATGCATTGGCAGCAGATTTCTCATTTGCAGCACTGAAAGCCAGAGGACTGAGGCTGGCCTGGGCCCAGGATTCTTAACCAGAGAGGTCATACTGTTCCCTGGCCAGATTAAGAAATACATTTTGGGCTGAGTGAGGTGGCTCACGCCTGTAATCCCAGCATTTTGGGGGGCCGAGGCGGGCAGATCACTTGAGATCAGGAGTTTGAGACCAGCCTAGCTAACATGGCAAAAACCCAGCCTCTACTAAAGCTAGAAAAGTTAGCCGGGCAAACTGGCAGGAGCCTGTATTTCCAGCTGTTCGGGAGACTGAGACACAAGAATCGCTTGAACCCAGGAGGCGGAAGTTTCAGTGAACTGAGATCACACCATTGCATTCTAGCCTGGGCGACAGAGTAAGACTCTGTCTCAAAAGAAAGAAGAAAGGCCGTAATGAAATGGCAGTTGATCAGAGACCCCAAGAGGGAAGGAGAGGGAATCGTTGTGAGTTGAGTCTTACAGTTTCTAGGTAAATGTCAGTGGAGGCTGGGTGCGCTGGCTCACACCTGTAATCCCAGCACTTTGGGAGGCCAAGGCGGGCAGATCACGAGGTGAAGACATTGAGACCATGCTGGCCAACATAGTGAAACCCTGTCTCTACTAAAAATACAAAAAAAAATTAGCTGGGCATGGTGGTGTGTGCCTGTAGTCCTAGCTACTGGGGAGGCTAAGGCAGGAGAATTGCTTGAACCCGGGAGGCGGAGGTTGCAGTGAGCCGAGGTCGCACCACTGCACTCCAGCTTGGCACCTGGTGACGGAGTGAGACTCTGTCTCAAAAAAAAGAAAATGTCAGTGGAAGGTGGCAGTGGAAGAAGAGCCTTCTTGGGGAAGCTCTTACTGGGGTGGGTGGGACAGAAGGAGGCAGAGAGAGTCATGGGAGAGGTGGTGCTTACCCTGTTTCTCTCTCTCTCTTTTTTTTTTTTTTTTTTTTTTTTTGAGACGGAGTCTCGCCCTGTTGCCAGACTGGAGTGCAATGGCACGATCTCAGCTCACTGCAGCCTCCACCTCATGGGTTCAAGTAATTCTCTTGCCTCAGCCTCTTGAGTAGCTGGGACTACAGGTGGGCGCCACCATGCCCAGCTAATTTTGTATTTTTAGTAGAGATGGGGGTTTCACCATGTTGGCCAGGCTTGTCTTGAACTCCTGACCTCAAGTGATCCACCTGCCTCAGCCTCCCAAAGTCCTGGGATTACAGGCATGAGCCACCGCGCCTGGGCAGGTCCAAAGTGTTAAAGGATGAAGAAGACATTGGGTAAAGATAAAAAGTTCAATTTGTGGAGATGCATAGTAAATTCCACAGGCATTAAGTGAAAGAGTGAAAATGGGCTGAATGTTAGCTCGTTACTCAACAGATGTGAGCTGTTTTATTTACACATAAACACTACTGGCAATAAAAGCAGAGCTTTAACAGATGTCTACATGAAACTCCAGGGAGAGGAGCATGGGAGTGAGAGTCAGTTACCTGACTTCACTGAGCCTGTCTCTCCTGTGAAATGGTAATGAGGCTGCCTTACTCACAGTGGTGGGAAGACTCAGAGATGGTTACATCCTGCATAGCATATGGGACTCTGAGAAGTGTTTGTGAGCTGTTTTGGAGGGGTGAACCTTTATTCTTCTTCCGTTTTTTTTTTTTTTTTTGACTGAGTTTTTGCTCTTGTCCAGTCTGGAGTGCAATGGTGCAATCTCGGCTCACTGCAGCCTCCTGAGTAGCTGGGATTACAGGAATGCGCCACCACGCCCAGCTAATTTTGTATTTTTGTTTAGTAGACACAGGGTTTCTCCATGTTGGTCAGGCTGGTCTTGAACTCCTGACCTCAGGTGATCTGCCTACCTCAGCTTCCCAAAGTGCCAGGATTACAGGCATGAGCCACTGCGCCCAGCACCTTTGTCCTTCAAGAGGGGCTGGATTTTTGGTGGGACCTGAAATAATAACCAAGCACGACTGCAAAGTCACAAGCTGTCTCCCTGGACTCGAGGTGGCTCCCATTCAGGGAAGGGAATGGAGGTGTCAGCCAGTGCATCAGGAGCTGGGGTTGTCACTGTTCAGTCTCTGGCCACCCTGGAGGATGGAGGTAAACCTTTACAGGTAAGAAGAGTGAGGACCAGAGACACCGAGTCATTGGTGAGCTTGCCAGGCTGAGGGGCGGCTGACGGAAAATTCAAATCTGGGAGGGTCTGACCCCAAAGTCCACCATCCCTGGAGCCCCCTGACCATGCCAGGTGTTTGGATTAATGGGACATCCCAGAAATAGTGCGTGCAGCATCCCAGAGGACAACTTCTGCTGCTGGCTACCCAGACCAGTCAGCTGTGGAGAGCAGCAGCCCACAGTGGGACACCAGCGCTGAGTGGGACAGGTGCTGGCTTGGCCTTGGGATGTCACATGCATACCCCCCACTGGACATGAGGGTTGTAGGGCTCGCGGGATGTGCCTGTTGCCCAGCAGGTGCTTGGTCATGTCCCTTTCCCCTTCAGCAGCTCCTGCCAGTCCTCCTTGCCGGAACCCCGTCCTGCCCAGCGCCCTGCAGTGCGTTTGAGGCCTGTGGGTCACAAGTCCCCCTCTCCTCTTCCAGGTGTGGCAGGCGTGCTTGTGGGACACCCGTTTGACACGGTCAAGGTGAGTCTCATCACTTCTTTTCTTGGTGCGTACATTGGAGAGAGGCTTACGGGGTTGGGGTGGCCGGAAGCCCGTTTCAGTAGACAGCCCCAGGTGGGCAGCTGCTTTTACACCAGGCTGGGTTGAACCTTCCTCTCTGGTCTGTCCTGGCATTTCCTGGCTGGGGCTGAACCACATGCTAGGTTCATGGCCAAGTCCATCCTGGGCTTGGCCAGCTGGGACAGAGGTGCTGAGGTTTCCTCCCACCCAGAGTAAGGGCACCCACATTGTTTCCATGCAGAACCCCCCAAACAGTGCCTTGAAAGAGAAGTTCAGAGAGAAAATGCAAAAAAGCCAGAACTCGTTGATATTGCCCATGAACATGGCCTTCATGGAGTGGTGGTTTCCCACGTGCCAGAGGCTGAGGAAGGGCCCTGTTGGCCGGTTCCTTGATAACGCCCCACACCTCCATGAACCGGGGTTCCAGCCTCTCAGGTCCCACGCAAGGGAAACCAGGCAAATCCATGTCTTCCAGCTGGAAATTCCCAAATAAATCCCCCCGCCCTCCAATCGTGTTTGGGCTGTGTGATCTGGGAATAGCCCAGCGGGACACTTCCCCGCCCTTTTCCCTGGGCCCCAGGGCGAGCTGAGTGGAGGGCACCAGGCCAGCCCCGCGCCTGCTGGCAGCAGTGCACATAGCCCCTCTTTCCACCGAGGGAAGGCAGAGCTGACGGCAGGGCAGGCTGCGTATCCCCAGCTGGGTTTGCAGGAGACGTCGGGTCTCTTTCTCCTCCAGTGAGCCCAGGTGTTTATTGGCAGAGACGGTGACTTCTTACCATAGGGCTGGATTGCACCCAGTGCAAGAGTGACAGTGTGGCCTTATGTGTTGGCTGTGACCTTAAAAAGTTCTGTCCCTGGTCCTCATGCAGGTCCAGGCCCCTCTGCCAGCTGGTTTTCTGCATGACCTTGGGCTGGTCACTGTATCTTTTGGCTCAAACATTGTCATTGTGCCAGTGCTCAGCAGCATAATTTATGTTGGATTAAATGCCAGCTCTGAAAAGCACAACTCTTCCATCCACGGTGGGCCAGTCGGGAGGAAGCTGAAGGGCCAGGCTTTCTCAGCAGGCAGCGACTCCGCATTTGCTACACAGGCCTCCTGAGAGGGAGGCCATGCAGAGCCTGCCCACACAGTCCCTGGCCCCAGCCGTGCCCACACGCTGCCTACTCAGGCCATTTGTGAAGCCTCCCCCAGGCCAGAGCAGCCCAGGATAGCTGGGCAGCGTCCACGTTGCACTGTGTTTATATCTTGGTCATGCGTTGTGAACGCCTCTCCCAGCCAAGAAGTGCTTCACATTTGCTTCCTCTTTCCAGCTCCAAGGAGGCCTGGGCTCTCTGAGCTATGAATCAGCCAGGCTTGCTTCAGGCTCCTGCCTGGCCCCCTCAGGCAGTGCCTGGCAGGCCAGGGAGCACTTTTGTCCTGGTGCTCCTCCGTCCTGAGCTGCTGAGCCCACGAGCAGCACCCTTGAAGTTAACTCAGGGACAGGAGTTTCTCCAGCCCATGAGGTTTTTTACCCCCCAGACCTTACTTCCCTGACATCTTTAGAAGATCTATTTGTGACCCTTTTTCTTTTTCTTTCTTTTCTTTTCTTTTTTTTTTTGCCACTGTGTTGTTCCAGCATCACATTTGGATGTACCTACCTTAAAAAGCTGAACTTTGGGAGCAGCCGTGGCTCAGGCCAGTTGTTCTGGCCCTTGAGGAGGTGAGGCTACGCGTTCGAGGCCAGCCTGGGCAACATAAGAAACTCTCATTCGTTAAAAAAAAAAAAAAGCTGAACTTTTTTTTTTGAGATGGAGCCTTGCTCTATCGCCCAGGCTGGCATGCAGTGGTGTGATCTTGGCCCCCTGCAAGCTCTGCCTCCCAGGTTCAAGCAGTTCTTCTGCCTCAGCCTCCTGAGTAGTGGGACTACAGACGTGGGCTGCCATGCCCGGCTAATTTTTGTATTTTTAGTAGAGATGGGACTTCATTGTGTTTGTCAGGATGGTCTTGATCTCCTGATCTCGTGATCCACCCACCTCTGCCTTCGAAAGTGCTGGGATTACAGGGGTGAGCCACCATGCTTGGCCTGAACTTTTTTTTTTCCTTTGAGACAGAGTCTGACTCTGTCACTCAGGCTGGAGTGTAGTGGCACGACCTTGGCTCACTGCAACTTCTTCCTCCTGGGTTCAAGTGATTCTCCTGCCTCAGTCCCTGCAGGAGAATCACCCCCCCGAGTAGCTGGGATCACAGGCACGTGCCACCACGCCTGGTTGTTTGTTTTGAGTTGAGCTCAGCACACGTAGAACGTGCACACAGTCCAGGTGTACAAGTCATCGCAAAGCACACATGTGGGGAGCTGCCACCCAGGAGAAACAGAACATGGCCAGCCCTCTTGAAGCGCCTGCTCCTGCTCCTGTCAACTCCTCGCTCCCCTTCTTCCAAGGTTTCCACTGGCCTAACTTCCTCCTTTTTTTAAGACAGGGTCTTGCTCTGTCATCCCAGGTGGAATGCAGTGGTGCAGTCATAGCCCACTGCAGCCTCTCAAGTAGCTGAAATGACAGGCACACACCACCATGCCTAGCTAATTTTTTAAAAATGTGTAGTAGAGATGGGGTGTTGTTATGTTGCCCAGCTGGTCTCAAACTCCTAGACTCAAGCCATCCTCCTGCCTTGGCCTCCCAAAGTGCTAGGATAACAGGCCTCGCCCACTGTCCTGATTTTCAGCATCCCGGGACCCTTTTGCCTGGTTTGAACTTAATATAATTGCAGCTGTACCCTAGAATCGTCAAGGGCCACCCGAGTCCTTGTCAGTCCGTGCTGTCACATGTCACAGACCATCTCATGGCTGGGACAGTCACAGTTTATTCTCCCAGGCCCTTGGGACTGAAAGAATCCAACATTTGGTTCTCCATAGCACGCAGAAATACAGCCACCGTGCTGAAGTGCGCGGCCTTCAAACGTGATTCTGCACGAGGGGAGTGTTCTGTCCTGCTTCCTTGGACACAACAAGAATCAGGGAGCAGTCATCTTGACCTGTGATGAGGGGGTGACCGGCCATCCCTGGGCAGGGGACGGGGAAGAAGGGTGGGGGCTGGCTGTGGGGGCCCCGCGCCTAGATGTGATGTTGAAATTTTGTGTTGCTTTAACCGCCTTTACTTTCTGAGCTAGGGGCTGTCTCCATAGCAAAAGTGTAACTTTGTTGTAGATGGGCGTAAGCCTCACCCTGGAGAGCGCTAGTAAGTACAGACCAGGTGAACCAGACCCCACCCTGGACCCCACCCTGTCATGCCCATCTCCCCAACCCCACAGTTCCCTCCGTGGCAGGGGACAGGGAGGGTATGAGGCAAGCTTGGGCCCAGCACAGGTCCTGGGGTGGGGGCCCAGGCTGGTCAAAAAAAAATCGGCCCCCTCTGGATTGGGACCTCACGGGGGACCTACGGGGAGCTGGGAGCTTCCTGAGCTTGAGTACAAATGACTAGTTTCCCAGGGGTGGGCCCGTTCCCATCAGTCCTCAAAGGAGATCCTGGCACCCCAAGATTTTAAGAGCCTCAGCTGTAGATTGGAAGACTTGGGACATCTCCCAGAGAGCGAGGGCTCGTCACAGACTGAGGGGTCAGAAACAAACTGGGGAGAGGCCTCTGCCCACAGTGGTGGGAGCAGCTGAGTTAACCTAAGCGTGACGTTCCCCAGCCGGCTAGACTTGGACATTCACCCATGTCTGTGGCCTGCGGAAGCTTCGCAGCGCTCCCCAGGTGGCACTGAGTATCAGACCTGGGAAGGGACAGCTCCATGTCACATAAGTTCTACTCACACAGCCCTCTTAGTGCCAGTGGTGGGGCTGCAGGAGGAGGAGAGAGATCCCCCCCTAGAGACCCTGGATCACTGAAGGGCAAGCAGCAAAACTCACATCAAGGTGCTGGCTGAGAAGGGGGCCTCCAGGGTGGGAGGCTGCTTCAGTGAATCGCTACGGCGGGAATCAGTTTCCCAGTTTCTCAAAGCATTGGCTTCTAGCTGCTGAGGTCCTGGGGGTACCGAGGTGGGGCTTGTTTCCTAACAAAACATTTTTTGTAAGTGCATTCACCAATAAGAGGACCCACCTATTCTGGTGGAGAGAATTGGAAAAGGTTACAAAATCTGGCTAAAGCCTGGCTGTTCCCCAGTGAGGGTTCTGCTTTGCCAGCACCCCCATCCCGCCCTCACCCTGACCAACATAGCTGCTCCTGTCCCTGGAGAGGACAGCTTTGGCCAAGTTATAAAATATCTCTGAGCCTCAGTCTTCCCATCTTGGAAATGGGGGCAGTTGTTCCAATGCCCAGAGATAATGAATGTGAAGCCCTCCCCTGTCCCATACTGTGTAGTACCAAAGGCACTTGCTCTGTGGCCCTGGCTGTGAGAATGGTCATTTTTCAGTCAGACCTAGGGAACCAGACCCTGAGAATGTGACTTGACCTAGTTTCTTCCCACCCCCTCCCAACAACTCTGAGCCTACTGTGGAGCAGAGATAAGCTCATAGGCAACAAAGAGCGCTTTGACATGGAAGAGGTTCTGGGCCACTGGCTCACGGGCGGTGGGGCCTGACCAACGTCCCAGGCCCCCAAGCTGCTGACGTGGGTCCCCAAGGGGGTTGCTGGCTGTTCTCTTGCTGCCGCTCTGTTAACTCATAACTGTTCTTCTCACGAGAGGCTACTGGCAGAGGCCAGGCAGGAGTTTCTGGAGCCAAGGCTCATTGCTTTTATTTTATTTTAATTTATTTATTGAGGTGAAGTGTCGCTTTCTTGCCCAGGCTGGAGGCAGTGGCGTGCTCTCACTGTATCCTCTGCCTCCTGGGTTCAAGCAATTCTCCCACCTCAGCCTCCAGAGTAGCTGGGATTACAGGTGTGTGCCACCATGCCCAGCTAATGTTTAGAGACATGGTTTTGCCATGTTGGCCAGGCTGGTCTCGAACTCCTGATCTCAAGTGATCCACCCGCCTCGGTCTTCCAAAGTGCTGGGATTACAGGCATGAGCCACAGCGCCCAGCCAGGCTCATCACTTTTAGCACCTATTGCCTTGAAGCCAGTCCCTGATGGGACATTAGGCCAGGGGCCCTTCAGCCATGGTCTGGGATATGGGCCACTCACTCAGCAGTATGGCAGGCATCATCCGGAGAATGGGCTGTTCTCAGGAGGTTGTTCATGCCCCACTGGCAGTGCACTGTGCAACCACAGTGTAGACAAGAGGCTCAGCCTCAAATGGTCTGAGATCTTGGGGCCCCCTACCCTGTCTCCAGCAGCCTGTCCCTGTAGCTGTTTGCCCACTGGCACCCCACCCTGAGGAGGCATGGACACCTGGCCCGCCCTGCCCTGGAATTACAAAAGCCTCAGACTGCGGCTGAGTGTCCCGCCTCCTTGGGAGACCCTCCTAGGCAGCCTGAGTGTTGGAGTGGGGAGCTGGGTGCTCTGGCCCCACCTGCCCGCCTCTCACTGGGCCCTCTCCTTCCAGGTGCGGCTTCAGGTCCAGAGTGTGGACAAGCCTCAGTACCGCGGGACCTTGCACTGCTTCAAGTCCATCATTAAGCAAGAGAGCGTGAGTAGCCTGGGCTGCTGGGGCTCGGGAGGCACAGGATGGGGAGCCAGCTTCGGGCTGCCACTGCCCCAGACTAGAGAGCTGGGAAGGAAGATGTCAGGACGGCCGCGAGGCCAGTCAGGACTTAGGTTCTCGCAAAATTCTGCTTGGTCCTCATGAGCCCGGGGTGGGGGGTGGGCTGGGGCTGCCATGCCCCACCCCTCCATGTGCAGGGCCCAGGCGGTGCGCACAGCCGGCCCTAAGGGCGTCTCTGTCCCCGCAGGTGCTGGGCCTGTACAAGGGCCTGGGCTCGCCGCTCATGGGGCTCACCTTCATCAATGCACTGGTGTTCGGGGTGCAGGGCAACACCCTCCGGGCCCTGGGCCACGACTCACCGCTGAACCAGTTCCTGGCGGGCGCTGCGGCGGGCGCCATTCAGTGCGTCATCTGCTGCCCCATGGAGCTGGCCAAGACGCGGCTGCAGCTGCAGGAGACGGGCCCAGGGCGCGCCTACAAGGGCTCGCTGGACTGCCTGGCGCAGATCTACGGAAACGAGGGGCTGCGCGGCGTCAACCGGGGCATGGTGTCCACGCTGCTGCGCGAGACGCCCAGCTTCGGCGTCTACTTCCTCACCTACGACGTGCTCACGCGGGCACTGGGCTGCGAGCCGGGCGACCGCCTGCTGGTGCCCAAGCTGCTGCTGGCGGGCGGCACGTCGGGCATCGTGTCCTGGCTCTCCACCTACCCCGTGGACGTGGTCAAATCGCGGCTGCAGGCGGACGGGCTGCGGGGTGCCCCGCGCTACCGCGGCATCCTGGACTGCGTGCGCCAGAGCTACCGCGCCGAGGGCTGGCGCGTCTTTACGCGGGGACTGGCGTCCACGCTGCTGCGCGCCTTCCCCGTCAATGCTGCCACTTTCGCCACCGTCACTGTGGTGCTCACCTATGCGCGTGGTGAGGAGGCCAGGCCCGAGGGCGAGGCTGTGCCCGCTGCCCCTGCGGGACCCGCCCTGGCGCAGCCCTCCAGCCTGTAAGGCTCGCCCCCTGCTTCCTTCCCCCGAGCCCTTCTCGGAAACTTGAAACGTAAATTGGCCCCGAGCCAACCGTCCTGCTCCTGCTGGGATGCTGTGGGCTGTGGACTCTTTTAGACTTGGGTTGAATGTTGCTTATCTGCTGGGTCACTTTGGCCGAGAACTTCACTCCGCTGGCCTCAGTATTCTCGCCTATGAAATAGGGACCCTCATATCCACATTGTAGAGTCACCAAGGTCAGAGATTATTCCGCGCAGCAGCCGGCACCGGGCCTGGCTGAGGCCATGCTGTGTCCCGCACCATTACCCTGGAAACCCAGCAGACACTCCAGCTCCTTCCCGGGTCCCGGCCAAGCCATTGTGCTTCTTCCCTACAAGCTGGCGCCTGGGGGGTCTCTGATGGCCCACCAATGGGCGGCCCATTTGTGGGCCGACTAACTCCACACATCCTCCACCCAGGAGGCTTGTTGGCCACTCCTCTGGTCTTTAAAGGTTAGGGATAGAGGACACCTTAGCGTGTCTCCTGGTGCCGAAGAACTGGATCCTCTGCGTACCCCACCTTCTCCACATGACACCGCTAGGAGTACCCTGGCTGCTGCCACTCCAGAGGGTGAACTGGGGACCCTCCGCCCTCCAGGAAGCCATGGTGTCTGCTGGAGGCACCATAGCAGCCCATAGGACTAGGGTGGGGAGCAGACAGGCCAGTGGGTGGAGGTCTTGACAGTTCAAGTGTGATGCAGCTGTGGTCAGGAGAAATCCTTCCACCTTTCCAGCCTCGGACTGCCCATCCGTAAAATGGGGACATGGCCAGCTGATGGACACCTGAGTCTCTGGTCCACCCACCACTGCCAGCCAGGATCCCCTGAAGTGTGCAGAGGGCTCAGCAGGGAGCAGTATGAGATGTCCCTCACTAGGGCTGGAACATCTCTGGCCACAGCCAAAGGTCAGTTTCTCTGCCCCCAGCACATGGTGTCTCCGGGGCATTCTCAGTGCCAGGGCTCTGTCCCTGTGAACATGCAGGCCCTGCTAGTGGGGTGGCTAGTTGGGGTCTGGGGCAGAAGAGGGCCGTTCCGGGCATCCTGGGGAATGTGCTCAATGAGGACAACACTGGGCTTTGCACAGCCTGGCATCACTCTACAGAAACCGTCAAGGGAATAAAGTGTTCTTTGTTTTGTAAGTGGTGCGGCTGCCTTTGCATGTGGTGGAGGAAAGGGCTTCATTCAACACCCTCGCCCCGGAGTCGAAGGGCCTGGCTCAGGCCTCTGTGCCCTCCGATCCTGACGACGGCCTTGGCCATGTGACCTGGGTGGTTATGGATAAATCTGAGAGCCTCAGTTTCCTCATCTGCAAGGTGAGCTAGTGAAGGCGTGAGGACTGAAATGTCAAGCTTATGAACACGCTGGGTACAGCCTCAGCCATTCAGCAAATGCCTCTCTGCTGTCATCATCCCAGCAATGAGAGGCCTGTGGTGAGGGACACTGGTGGGTGGGGCAGCAGGGGTTGCGGGTGTCCCAAAAACAGCCTCCTGGAGGAAGGGAGGTCTGAGTGGAGCTGAGCATTTCAGCCACTTGGGCAACTTGGGCACAACTGTACCCAACCCAGCTTAGGAGGTCAGAGAGGGCTTCCTGGAAGAGGCCTTCCTGGAGCTTTGCCAAAGGTGTGGTTGCAGGGGTCTCACTGCCACCTCACCCGCAGTTGTGTTCAGCCCCCTGGAGTCAGTCCTGGGCACCCTGAGCCTCCTCAGCCACCAGCCCTGGAGGCTTTCCCTCCAACCGCTGAGCCAAGAAGCTCTGCCCACTGACAAAGGAGAGTCGGGGAGGGGCCCCAGTTCCTGTGCCCATTTAATCCTAGTGCCAGCCTGTGAAGGTGGGCTTTACAGGGAGGCAGGAGGCCAGGAGGAGGCTGGCTTTGAACCCTGGGGTCTCCTGGCCTCTCTCACTTCTCTTTACTCTGAAATCAACCGGGGGAAGCTCCCAGGAGTAGGGGACACCCAGGCCATGGGCTAGGAGAGGCCCCTTCCCTGGCTCCTCCATGCCCAGCCTTGGCACCCCTTTGCCTCTCCAGGCCTGGGTGGCTGAGTCTCTTGGGGCGGCTTGGGTGGGGCCTGTGGCTGTGGTGTCCTAGGCCCCATCACTTTAGATCTCGCCACATATCTGCGCTCTCCGGAAAGCCCCAGCATGAGCCTTGTCAGGAACTGATTATAGAGCACAAACGATTCTCCAGCCCTGCTCACTCGGGGGCTTCTCCATGAACCCTGCAGCTGCCTGCCCTCTGGGGACAGCACACAGACAGGCCAGCCCTTCAGAAGTGAGGGGTGGTGCAGCAAGGAGCACCGTGAAGGGGTGGGGAGCTGCCAGCTCCCTCCTGCCTCCCAGCTCAGTGGCCTCACAGGCAGGACCAACACATTTGCCAGGAGTGCAGTTGTTGGTTTTATTTTATTTTTTAAAAATAAAGACAGGGTTTCACCATATTGGTCAGGCTGGTCTTGAACTCCCAACCTCAGGTGATCCGCCTGCCTTGACCTCCAAAGTGCTTGGATTACAGGCATGAGCCACCACGCCCGGCCTGTTGTTGTTGTTGTTTTTTTTTTTTTTTTTTTTTTTTTTTAAGAGACAGGGTTTAACCATGTTGGCCAGGCTGGTCTCGAACTCCTAACCTCAAGTGATCCACCCGCCTTGGCCTCCCAAAGTGCTGGGATTACAGGCATGAGCCACTGCAAATCTGGCCACTGATTTGAATTTATTTAGAATAAGTGATATATGAAGGTGATAAAAACTAAAAATACACCCAGAACCCAGGCTTGTGCAGTGAAGAGGAAAATCTTCCACCTCCCCCAGGGTCAGCCTGTCCTCCTGAATAGAGGACAGTCTCCAGCTCCCAGAGGGCATCCAGCACATCTTGGGCAAGTGCCAGCATGCAGCAGGGGGCGGGGGGGACGTCTCCATCCCCCACAAATGAAGTCTGGCCGAGGTCCTGACCTGTTCTTTGCTCTCTTCCCTTGACAGTCATCTTGGAGATTGCATTCGTCTCCTACGGCTGCTGTAACAAAACACCACACGCTGTGGCTACACATCAGCCATGAGTTCTCCGGCAGTTCTGAGGGCCACACTCCAGCTGCAGGCAGGGTTGGTTCTTTATGGGGGCTCTGGTTGAGGGACGTTCCCTGCTCCTTCCAAGCTTCTGGGGGTGGCTGGGAACCCTTGGTGTCCCTGGGCTTACGAGCACATCGGTCCCATTGCTGCCTCCGTTTCTTGCCGCCTTCTCCTGTGTGTCTGTGTCTCTGTGTGTTCTCTTTTTATGATGACACCAGTCATGTGGGATTAAGGGCCCCCCTATGCCAGTGTGACCTCATCTTAACTAAAATCATCTGCAGAGACCAGTTTCCAAATCAGGCCAAATTCAGTTGCCTGGGGTTAGGACTTGAACGTGTCTTTCTGGGGCCACAGTCCAACCCTTAACAGGGATCTCTATTGGTGTGTTTGGACTGTCCTCATTCCTGCGGACGGCTGCGTGGCATTCCATTGGATAAACTTTGCTTGATGGCCGGGTGCGGTGGCTCACGCCTGTAATCCCAGCACTTTGGGAGGCCGAGGCAGGCAGGTCATGAGGTCAGGAGTTTGAGACCAGCCTGACCCACATGGTGAAACCCCGTCTCTACTAAAAATACAAAAATTAACCAGGCATGGTGGCATATGCCTGTAATTCCAGCTACTCAAGAGGCGGAGGCAGGGGAATTGCTTTAACTCGTGAGGTGGAGGTTGCAGTGAGCCGAGATTGTGCCACTGCACTCCAGCCTGGGTGACAGAGCGAGTCTCCATCTCAAAAACAAAAACAAAAAAAAATCTTTGCTTGATTTGCTTTTCTAGTCAGGTTTGGGAGGGTAACTGGGGGACGAATCTGAGCAGAGTCTTAAAGGAGGAGCAGCAGTGGACAGAGCCAGAGGGACAGGGAGGTGGTAGCTGGAAGGGCAGATGGGGAGGGGGGCTAGGCAGGGCCTAGAGGACCATAGGGCCAGACATTCAAGAGGGCCACGAGGCTGGGTCAGATGGCAGCACCTTGGGACAGTGGCATCCTCCTAAGCGGCAACTTCAGACCCTTCCTGCTCTTGAAATCTCAATTTGTTCTGGGCTTCAGGATGTCCAAGTCAAAACACCTTGCCAGACTTTTACTTTTTTTTTTTTTTTTTTTTGAGACGGAGTTTCGCTCTCGTTACCCAGGCTGGAGTGCAATGGCGCGATCTCGGCTCACCGCAACCTCCGCCTCCTGGGCTCAGGCAATTCTCCTGCCTCAGCCTCCTAAGTAGCTGGGATTACAGGCACGCACCACCATGCCCAGCTAACTTTTTGTATTTTTAGTAGAGACGGGGTTTCACCTTGTTGACCAGGATGGTCTCGATCTCTCGACCTCGTGATCCACCCGCCTCGGCCTCCCAAAGTGCTGGGATTACAGGCTTGAGCCACCGCGCCCGGCCTTTTTTTTTTTTTTTTTTTGAGTTTCACTCGTTGCCCAGGCTGGAGTGCAATGGCATGATCTTGGCTCACTGCACCCTCTGCCTCCCAGGTTCAAGCAATTCTCTTGCCTCAGCCTCCTGAGTTGCTGGGATTATAGGCACAGCCACCAAGCCTGGCTAATTTTTTGTATTTTCAGTAGAGACGGGATTTCACCACGTTAGCCACGCTGATCTAACTCCTGACCTCTGGTGATCTGCTGGCCTTGGCCTCCCAAAGTGTGAGTCACCGCACCCAGCCTCTTGCTTGCCACTGGAGTTGGCCATATGTCTGACAGCTTCTGAGAAAGCTGTGAAACAGGTAAAACACACCTGTGGCACACCCCTCGACCTCTGACCTTGCTCCCTCTGCTTCCCCCTGAAAGGGGGTAGGATGCCTGGAGGTGCACTGGGAGAGACCACAGCCCTGAACTACAGAGCCAGCTGGTCACATTCCTCTCATTCAGCACACTGTTCTGTCACTTGCAGCAAAATGCACCAGTAGCTGCTGCGCAGAGCTGAGTTTATTTGGTTGCATCAGCAGCTGTAAACAGGTTTTACCCAGGGGAGTGACAATTTGTGCTTTGAAGACCCCACAGGAGGTTAGGAGGGAAGAAGAGGCAGGCCAGGGTGGGGGGCAGAGGCCATGAGGGTGTCTGAGCCAAAGGAAATCTTCAGGCCAGGAATGGGGAGCTCCAGTGGCCGGTGCACGAGGACACTCGGGAATAAAGGCAGAAGCACTCTTGGAGGCATCAGGGGTGCCGCCAAGGGAGGTGACACTATGTGGCAGGAGCTAGTCTGTGAACTCTACAGGGATCTGGAGTTTGTGGCTCCTTCCTCGACCCCTTAAGGGAAAGGGCTATGAAACAGCACGGGCAAGGCATTTGTCTCAGGGATGGGAAAGCGGGAGGCTTAAAGCGTGGAAGGGCAGAGAGAAGGGGACAGGCCCCGTGAGAGTTGCAGCCCGGGTCCTTGGTGCAGAGTTTAGGCAAAGCAGTGGCAGTGTGCAGAGTCCAAATCTTAGAAACTGTTTTTCCAGTCTCAGAGCCCACACTGAGTTCACACACAGACTTCCCTTTCCCTTTTCTTTTGATTCCTTTGGACATCAAGTGCACAGAGTGAGTGGAGCATGAGCCTTCTTGTGGCGCTCTTGTCACCAGCCTGGGCCTTCAGTGAGTGGTTTCTCATCAAAAGCACCGGTGAGGTCACACGGACCCTGCTGGGCAGGTTCTTGTGACTGTAGGGATGGCTCAGCCCTTTGCATACCTGTCCCTTCATCCTCCCAACAGCCCTACAAGGTCGGTGCTGGCGCCCCCATTTTGCAGTGCAGAATACCAGTTGGAGAGGGCCCTTGTCCAAGGTCACACGGCTGGTGGGTACTGGAGCGCTGGGGCCTGTCAGCCAGTCCTTCCCCTTTCAGCAGTACCATCCTGGGCGGGCAACCCTGGCCCCCCTCTCCCCTGCAGTGCAAGCACCACAGGGGGCCGGGCCAGGATTCACGCCATGTGCTCCCAGGTCTCAGGTTCCTTGCTGCTTGTTGCTCACACACCCCTGGCCTCCCGGTACCCGCCTACCCACGAAGAGGCAGATGCAAGACTGGGTCCAGATGCCACTTCCCAGGGAACTGGGAAAGGCAGGGTGAGGCCAGTGTTCACCTTGACCAGGACACAGCAGAGACAGGGCAGAGGCTGCAGG